AAATATAAGATATAAGTCACATTAATTATATTTCTTATCTCATACTCTATATAAACAATTCAATTTCCTTTGCCACCCAATTTTGGCAAATTTTAACATCGTTTGCTAGCCAAACAGTAAAAATTATTTTATTAAAAAATTTATAGAATATGTCAAATAAAGAGAATAATTTCTTTTAAAAAAATAATTTTCCATAGAAAAATACATTCTAACATGTAGTTATTTTCCACCAACTAATTGTACTCTTGTATTTATTTTCTACGTTGTTTAATTGCAATATCACTCCATCATTTTCATCTTTGATTCGTTGAAAAGAAAAGCTATAGCGAAGGTAAACTCCTGAGTCCTGACTAGTCTGTTGGTTTAACACAAACCACCTTAATTTGTTTAATTAATTTTTTTATAAATCTTAACTATGATCTGCTTAGTAGTTAGTACTACCTCAAGTCTAATTTAATTGTCACTTAACCTATTTTTAGGACATTTTTTTATAACAATATAATTTGAATTTTTTTATTTAATTTCACTTTATATAAAAAAATATAATTACTATTTATATAATATAAAAAAATACACACAACTACGTGCGATTACGGCTATAAAATCTGGAGGAAGTATAATACTCCAATTCAATGAAAGACCGCATTAGGCACTTATACATCAGTCTGCTGGTGCAATTAATACCTTAATTAGTACTAAAATGTAAACTATAATAATATTACATAAATATCCATTTTCCTATCTCGAAATTGTAATCATTCAAAAATAAAAAAAAATAAAAAAAAAGAACAAAGGGTTTACAATGAAGGCCATTTATCTACCCCACAAGTATCACGTTAATTTTGAGAGAGCGCCACGTGTTCCAGTTGTAAAGTAGGAATGATAATGCATTCTAAGGTGCTATGCCACACGCCAAATCACGAGTAAAATGATCGATCAGTCACAGTCCTCTTTTACTTTATTATTATTATTTTTTTTTTTTTTTTTGCAGAAGAACCCTTGTTTATATCGGAGTTCTTCAACAAAAGGATCCGAGATTATTTACGTGAATTGCGGAATTCATCAAATCAAATTCCTAAAGAGCTGACTACCTTGGCCAGTCTGCAGATTCCTAAAGAGCTGACTGACAACATATTTAGAGCTAAATATGGTAAGCATCGTCGCCACAAAATCATGGTGAAGGTATTGCTTGCCGAAGTGGAGGAAGTGCTTTATGATACTTATCGTATAATTGATGAGATGATGGATGCCAATATATTCAGGCTAACTGCAGAAGTCCAATCCAGTGCCAACGGCCCATGGAAACTCATCCTTAATTTGTTTAACAAGATTTCAAGGTTTATGCATTATTATCAAGAAAAAAGGATGGTTTCCAAGGTGAAGTATATAACTGTTAGATTCGAAGAAATTCTTGATGAAGGAAAGCAGTTATTAAAAGAAATTATTGGTGAAAGATCGAGGAACAGATTGAGGGACAGATTGAGGGACAGATTGAGGGACAGATTGATGGACAGATTAAGAATGCCTTTCGCCCGCAGACCAAATACGCCTGGTAACACCGTCCGCAGACCACCTACGCCTGGTAACATCGTCCGCAGACCAACTACGCCTGGTAACATTCTACCTCTGTTTGAATTTGCTATTTTTCTACGTTTCTTCCTTAAAGCATTTACATCGGGAGAGAGCCATCATGTTACATCATCCCAGTTCATATTACTTTCCCTTGTCGCTTTTTATAAATTTAGTTTGATTTTTTAATTTTTAAAATATAAATTTTAAATAAAAATTTAATAATAAATATTAATTAAAAATTTATTTTGATTATGTAAAATACTCAGCAAGAATTATATAGAGATAAAAAAATTTTAATTATTATTTATATAAATTATTAAATTTTTATTTAAAATTTATATTTTAAAAATTAAAAAGTTAAATTAAATCTCTTAAAAATAATATAAAAGAAAATTTTATTTA